AGTCTTGCCATAGCCTCCAGAGTACATGGGTTTGCAGAGATGCCAGGCTTTATTTTTTGTTTTGAGTTGAAATTTAATTTCGATGTCTCATTAAATTTAGGCTCACCTGGAGCCCCAAAGAATTAGTCCATCTCCCACAGAGAGCCTTAGCTTGTGTCCAGGCACACTTGTAGTCTCCCTATAGCCTTTTTTTTTTTTTTTTTTTTCTTTCACTTGGGTCACCCTGCACAGAAGCCCTCTTACCTCTAAGTACTTGGCCATTGCAGTCCGGCAGATGTGTATCACTTCTTGTCATTATTTACTCCAAGGTTTAAAGCCTTTTTCACCGTGGAGAAGAAATCAGGGATGTGTGCAGTCTTTCCTAGCTTGGAGAATGGTTGGAGGGGGAAGTCTTCAGTTTCACAGAAGCTGGGGAATTTTATCAAGGGCTCTCCTGGGCATCTTGAGAAAAATCACAAAATGGCTGGAAGTTATTTGAGCTCTTGGCAAGCTGCATTTACTTCACTAGGCCACTAGGTGTTGAGCGACTCACAGACCTGGGAGCAGGGACTGCTGTGTCAGTGGCTGTCTGAAGACACAGTTTACCTCACTGAAAGGTATTTTAGGTGCTGAGAAAAAAAAAAAAAAAAGTGTTCCTCATATGCTTTGTCTTTCTTGGCTTTGTTCTAGTTTTAAATACTAGTGTGAAAAAGTTCTTGGAGTGTTTTTCTTAGAAGAGGGGAATGAGTATGTGTGACTTAGCAGTTTAAATGGAGGCCAGCACCGTGGCTCAGTGGGACCCTGGGACTCACATGGTGGCAGGACAACCAGCTCCCATAGGCTGTCCTTTGACCTTCATACACATGACATACCACCCCTCCAGTAAACAGTACGTTTTAAAACTTAAATTCATTTGTAAACTGAAAAACAGATGTCAAGTATATTTCTTGGAGGGCAGTGTGATGTTTTCACATGTATGTACATTGTGCAGTGTTTCAATTAGGTTAAACTGCAGCACCTATCCCTTAAATATTAATCCTTTTTTTGTGGTAAAAACCAAAAAAAAAAAAAATCAAGCTCCATCTTTTAGCTTCTGGAGTGTATGACACATTATCACTTTTGTAGTCTTCCTCTTTGACCTAGCATGGCCAAACTCTGCATGTTTCTAGTTGTAACCTCTCTGCCCTCATTCCTTCTCTCTCCAGCCTCTGACCGCCATTCCATTCCTGGCTGTCATGAGATCATCGCTCTTATTTCCATGGATGAGGAGAGTGTACAGTGCTTGCTTTTCGTGCCTAGCTTGAGTCCATGTTGTTGCAAATGATAGACTTATAAAGTTACTTTTATTGGCTGAATAGCAGTCTGTAGTCTATAGTGTGATTGTGATTTACATTTTCTTCCCCTTTCCCTCCTTCTCACTGTCCTACTTCCTTTCCTTTTTTTTTTTCTTTTAAAAATTTTGTTTCTCTTTGAGCTAAGGATGGGACCCAGGTCCTCGTGATGGTAGGTCAGCATCCAACCAGAGAGCCCCAGCTTGCATTATGTAGTTATTGTCAGCAGTGCTGTAGTGAACACAGGGGTACTAAAGTCTTTTTTTTCCTAAGATTTATTTATTAAGTATACAGTATTCTGTATGCTTATATGCCTGCATGCCAGAAGAGGATACCAGATCTCATCGTACATGATTGTGAGCCACCCTATGGTTGCTGGGGATTGAACTCAGGACCTCTGGAAGAGCAGCCAGGGCTCTTAACCTCTGAGCATCTCTCCAGCCCTTGATGTCTTTTTTTGTGTTGCTCTTTTGTTCTAGACAGGGTCTCACTTACGTAGTCTGGCCTCAGAGCTGACATCTTGTCTTAGCCTGCTGAGTGGTGGGATCATCTGCATGTCTCAGCACACTTGGTCCTGTGTGAACGGTGTCTTCACAGCCTTCAGGATTCTTGACTGCTTGATCACAGTCAGCAACTTTCTGGCATCTTGGGATTCTAGAGATGCAGATGAAGCATCCAGTGCCAGCAGCATGTGCCAGTTGCCTGTGCTGGTCCTTTCTCAGTCCTTTGTAAGCAGTAACTTGTTACCGCTGGAGTTTGCGGATTTTATTTATGCCTTGAATTTTACCATCTAGTGCTGAGGTGTGCCTTTGAAAAGTTACTCTGATTTTAGAACTTAAGCCTTTTCTTGGTGCAGGTGCTTTCCAGTCTCTCTATGTTATGGGCGAAGAGACTGAACCCAGAAAAGTGAAGTGACGTGCTTTGAGTCACAGCTAGCCACCATGAACATCAGGCACATAACTCCTGCTGAGCTGTCGCCAGTGTTCCAGTCACCCCACAGCAAAGGCTCATTAGGAGTAAATTAGAAAGTTTTTCTGAGACAGGAACCTGCCAGCAGTTCCTGAGGAATCAAGAAGAGGTAACAAAACTCTTTACACCCAAAATGTGGCTCATGTAAAAGACTGACGATCCCTGTGCCCTGGTGTTCCATTAATGGATCTACTTCATAATTCTCAAACTCTGTAAGATCAGAAAGTTGCTTCAACTTTGGAGAATAGAGGTTTTGAGTAGCCTGGAGCTCGATAAGTGTGATCATGCCCTGTTGTAAATACTGGACAACCTAATCAGCTGCCAAAGCTTGGAGACAGACGCCATAAACTGTCTTATCAGGGGTCTGGTTTCTGTTTGAGTTCCAGCCTGGGACTCTTCTGATGGGAACCACCTGTTCCTGGTCTGTTGAGCTTTGGATTTCCCCAGTCCCTCGGTCCTTTCAGTTTTGAAATGAAACCTGCTCTACAGGGTGAGGTCAGGTCCAAGAGGACTTTGACAGCTCACAGCAGCTTATTTTGTTCTAGAGCCAACTGGTATGTAGCTTGTGATGAGAGAGGTGATGAATCAGCTGTTGGGTAAGATCTGGGCAGTGTCATTTCTTTGGGTAACCGGGAAAACAACCAAATACATATGTTTACTGCTCAGGAAGCTGAAAGTTAAGAGTGCAGTCACCAGAGGGCTGCACAACCTCAGCCTTGCTCTCCTGAAGAGAACTCGCCCACCCCCAGTGCCCACCCAGATTTCTCTGTGTAGCTGGCCGAGACTAGCTTTGAGCTCCTAATTCTCCTGTCTCAACCTTCAGTGTTAGGATTACAGCTGTACACCACTCTGCCTTGCTCCAGAAGGTTTTATCTCAACTTCTTGTCTCATCCGTAGGACCTCCTACCTTCTTCCTATCCAAGTCTCTGGCCTCTCTCCCTGCTGTTCTCCTGTCCTTGCCCTTCACCATAAACCTCCTCCCAGAGTATAGCACTTCACGTAACTCTTTCTAGTAAGACTGGGTCACCACATGACCTCACTGGGTCGCCCCTGCATCATTTGGTAGCACTCCAGAACTGCCTTTAGTCCATAGAACATCTCTTTCTTTGGGGATTTCTGCTGGATCAGTGCCAACTGCATGTCTTCCCTTGTCTTCCACATTCAGTGGTCCCAGTGGATTATTGGTAGCCAAGACTAGCCTGGCCCAGAGGTTCAGGAGAAAACATGGCATCGAGAGGCTATGTTAGTAAGTTAAGATGTGGGCAAGTGTGAAGCCCTGCGACCATGAAGGCTGTGTTGGGTAGGAGGGACAGGAAATGCAGTACTTGAAGCAGGTGTCCTTTGTAGCCTTCCTCTCCTGCTCATTCTGTTTGGGGATGGAATGCAGCTTAGTGGTAGAGTACTTTATTCCCAGCACCACAAATATCAGCATGCTTGGAATTTAGTAATTTACGTGGAATATAGCAATCTTTGATTCTTTCTCCCATTTCTGTTCCCTAGAGAGAATGTATCTTTGGAATGTGTGAACTAAAGAAAAAAAATAGATCTTTTAAGTTTTATCTCCACAAATAATATAGATGCTATGTATCATTCTGATATTTCCTTTTTTGTCTAAGAATGGGCCTTCAGCCACTGTGATGGAGCACATCTTTAATCCAAGCACTCAGGGAGGTAGAGGCAGCTGGATCTGGATGAGTTCAAGACCAGTCTGATCTACATAACAAGCTCCAGGTCAGGGCAAGGCTACATAATAAGACTCTTTCTCAAAAACAAAAAACAACAAAGAATGGGCCTTGGCAGTATCCCATGTTAGTAAGTAGTCATATCATTCTTTTTGGCTGCTGTATAGTATTTCATAAAATGGATAATGCTTTGTTTTATTTAGCCACTTTCCTGTTGAGTGACATGAAAGTATTTCTCTGTTCTAGATGATGCTTACTGTGGCTTAAGAGTTGGTGTTCTGTTCCTAGGCATTGATCTCAGCCTTCTTCAGTTCACAGGGAGAACTTAATGGTGTGTGTGTGTGTGTGTGTGTGTGTGTGTGTGTGTGTGTGTGTGTGTGTGTTTCTGTTTTTTCAGTGCTGGGGATCGAACTGAGGGCCTCATATATGCTAGGCAAATGGGCTGAGTCACCAGCCCCGATGTCTTGCATTCATGATGAGCATGCTGTGCTCCTTCTCTGGTGCCCCATCCACTTATAACCAAGCCCTGCATCGACTAGACATCCCTCCTTCCCATTCCTGGTCTGATCACTATCAAGCACCAGAATGGGCCCTTGGGATTCTTAGAACTAGACTTTGCCTTCTTTGTTGCCACTGCCTTATGCTGTGGTTTTCTCATTTACCAGGTTAAATGATGTGTAAAGTGCTTACAGTAGTTAGGGGCTACCGAGTGATGCAGTCACCTGATTCCAGGCTTGACTTTCTGTTGTTTTGAGGCTGCCCCTGAGTCCTGGTGAGGTTCGAGGCCCTCCTAGCATGGGAACCCGGAGTCTGATAGAACTGGAGGGAAATACCATACCTTGGGTGCAGGCTGATCTTACTTTGTGTCAGGTGCAGGCTAAATTTACTTTGTATATCTTTTATTGTCGAACTTTTTTAACTTATTTTGCATTTGAGTGTCCTTACAAGAATGTTGTATTTAAAAACAGGGCGGTGGTGGTGCACATCTTTAATCTCAGCACTCAGGAGGCAGAGGCAGGTAGATCTCTGTGACTTTGAGGCCAGCCAACTACAGAGCAAGTTCCAGGTGAGCCAAGGCTACACAGAGAAACCCTGTCTCAGGAAAGAAAAAAATTGTATTTGGAATTGTAACCAAGGAGCTAGAGACATGGCTCAGTTAGTTAAGAGTGCTTGCTGATTGTTCTTGCAGAGGACATGAGTTTGGTTCCTAGCATTTACTCTGGCTGCTTACAACCACTTGTAACTCCAGCCCTAGGCTTCCATGGACTCCCACACTAACTTGTGCATACACAGACACATCCACAGAATTACAAAGAAAATAAACATTTAGAAATTGTAATCCATTCTCCTAGTGAACAGAAAGGGAGGAGGGACTCTCAGAGCTTGGCTGCAGTATAGATGGCTTCCTAGTTCCTCAATTGAAGACCATATGTCTCAGACATACAGAGTGGCACATGCAACCGCCACTGAGGACAGAAAAGCTGCACTGTCCAAGTCTGGGCTGTGTGGAGAATGTCAACGTTATAGGAGTCCAGAGGAGGGAGACAGAACCAAAGTATCACTTAGGAATTAAGCAGTTCTTATTAAAGAGGAGTAGATGGTTGAGAAATACCAAGTTCACTTAGTGCACACATTTAAAACTATTTTAATCACAAGGGGCTTTCTGAATGGAGAAGACTGAACTAGCCCGTATTAAGTGCTTAAATAAATAGAAAATAGTATGAAAATAAAAGATCACTGGGCGGTGGTGGCACACACCTTTAATCCCAGCACTCAGGAGGCAGAGTCAGGCAGATCTCTGTGAGTTTGAGGCCAGCCTGGTCTACAGAGTGAGATCCAGGACAGGTACCAAAACTACACAGAGAAACCCTATCTCAAAAAAGAAGAAGAAGAAAAAAAAAAAGAGCACTGGCTGCTCTTACACACAGGACCTGGGTTCTGTTCCCACACCTACATGGTAGTTCTGGGGAATCTGATGGGTCTGATGCCCTCTTCTAGCCTCTTTGGCCACTGCATGCACATGGTGCGAGGACATCCTTGTAAACACTCATACACATAAAATAAAAAAATAAGGGCCAGGCAGTGGTGGCACAAACCTTTAATCCCAGCATTCAGGAGGCAGAGGCAGGTGGATCTCTGTTAGTTTGAAGCTGGTCTGGTCTACAAAGAGAGTTCCAGGATGGCCAGGGCTACACAGAGAAACCCTGTGCTATTTTCTTGGTTCCTCCTCTTCTTCTTTTTTAAATTTATTTTTATTTATGTGTATGAGTGTTTTGCTTACATGTATGTAAGAGTGCCATGTGCATGCAGTGTATTCTCTGAGGCAAGAAGAACTGTTCCTCTGGAACTGGAGTTACAGTGAGCTGCCATGTGAGTGCTGGGAACAAAACCTGGGTCCTCACCAAGAAGAGCAAGTGCTTTTAACGGCTGAGTCGTCTCTCTACCCTGTATTACCTAGTCTTTGCATAGCACTTGTCATTATCTAGTATTTTTCAGGCTTACTTTCATATTTGCTTGTAGTCTCTAAGTAGACTTGGCCTTGGCTTATTGTCATTGTTATTTGATCACCTTTGATAATTATACTGGCCAGGATGAGCCACCTAACTTGCTTGTCTGGAGTCACTGAATCATTTTCCTGAAACCAGAGAAGGGTGGCAGGGACTTGACCTTGGGGGGCATGCATGCTGAAGGCAGAGGGTAAAGATGGGATACTGCTTCTGCGGCTGCGGACTGAAGGCTGAGAGAATGGAGCAGTGGGCAAGATAGGAATAGAGGCCTGCAGGAGGACACAAACGGTTGAAACCAAAGATTGAGTCCTGAGGCCTCCTGAGAACAGAACGCAGATGGAGAGTAAGGAGGGCTGGGCAAGCATCTCAGGACAGGTCATCAGTAACCACAGAGATACTGGGACAGTCTCAGCTGCTGCCTCCTGTCCTTCCCCTCCCCTCCCCTCCTGTGCTTGTATGGATGTGGAGGTGCACAAGTACCATCGTACATGTGTGGGAGTCCTAGAACAGCAGTTGGGAATTGGTTCTCTCTTTTCACTTGTGAGTTTGCAGGATGAAGCTCAGGTCCATCAGACTTGGATGTAAGCACTTTTACTCACTGAGTTATTTCATTGGCCCTCTCTCATCATTCCTGCTTTTGGGTCTTTCAAGACAGGGTTTCGGGTTGGGGATTTAGCTCAGTAGTAGAGCGCTTGTGCAAGGTCCTGGGTTTGGTCCTCACCTCCAGAAAAAAAAGAAAAAAAGAAAACAAACAAACAAACAGGGTTTCTCTGTGTAGTTTTGGAGCCTGTTCTGGATCTCGCTCTGTAGACCAGGCTGGCCTTGAACTCGCAGAGGGCTGTCTAGCTCTGCCTCCCGAGTGCTGGGATTAAAGGCATTCTTGCCTTTTTAAGGAATAAACTTTTGTCATATAGAAAGGATCTGGTAGTTAACAT